GTCTTTTAACATTGATGATGATCGAAAATCATATTGTCTTCAACTGGTCAGAAAAACACTAAGAGAGTTTCCATCTTTTTTGACAAATAAGTTTCTTAGGGATACCGATAACAATTTTATCGATGCAAAACTTCCAAAGCCGTATGCATGCTTGATTTCGCCTGAATAATGGGAAACCTTTAAATAAAAAAGAAGAACCTCATATTTTCAGGATGTGAGTGGCGTGAATTACCAACGAGCATCAAGTCCCTTGTATCCATACAAAAAAGGGCGTATGGGATATGTACGCTTGCAACAAAGATTGGTAAGTATATATAAATGATATGATATACTTGTTCATCATGTTTTATTATGATTTTATTATTTCTCTTAATGTGTAGTTAGAAGAGGAGAAAAGTCAAGAAACATCTCTTCCGGAACATGTTCTGTGGAAGGTTGCCCGGGTGGATAAGGATGGAGTTGTTAAGGAAGATGTGCTTCAAATTTATGAGAAATGTGTAAGTATATCAATATTCCTATAAATTAAATCAATATTTTATTAAAATACAGAATTTGTAAGTTTAATCACCACTAATTTATTTCGCTATGCATATGAATTTCAGGAGAGTCTATCTCAATCTTTAACTCAAGCTGAAGACCATGATTGCAGGAGCATACTTAGTCGAGTATTAAATATTCCTGAGTATACCGATCATGTGAGGGGTAAGGGATTCAGGATGACTCAAACATCTTTGGGTAACCATCAAAAGAGGAAAGGTCATAGCAATAAAGAAGTTATGGAAGAGTTAGAAAAATTAAAAGCTAAAGTTCGTGAGTTGGAAAAGGAAAAAGAAAGATACATGTCAAAAAGACAAGGTTCAGGGTTCAAGGATACTAGTGACAAAGATAGTATCAATTGTGATTTCCAACAAAAAATTTCCGAGGTAACATATATTATTATGAATTAGCATAATTTTTTTAATTGATATTTATAAACATTAACAATTTCATATTTATTATTGGTTTAGGGAATTTTACCTTGTCAGCTATATTTATCGTCACCGACTTATCGCATGGTTGACAAGGGAAAAGTGCATAACACCTTGGGAGAAGTACTTCACCATAAACTTCTCCCTGCTTGATTTTTGAAAGTATCAATTGATATTGCTTTAGAGAGGTATGTGCCATTATCGTTGCCTGACGATATTTCAGATGTAACATTGGTTGGAGAGGCAATAGGATCTTATGTTGCATGGCCGTCAAGCCTCATTTGCATAGATGATGAGGTATATTGAAAATTATTATGAAACTTTGAGTATTCAAATTTTTTACGACCATTTAACGTACATTTTTTTATGGTAATGTTAGACTCCCACAAAATCCAAATCAAAAGATAAGGAGATTAATCTGCAAGATCGAGTCAGTTGCATCCAAAAAGGAAGTAAATTGATATATATATATTATACATAGAAAAAGTTAATTCACGATCTTATACTTCACCTAACTTATTATATGCATTTGATCTTTAGATTCATGTTAAAGACGTGCAACAAGTCCATATGAGTAAGAAGCCTGAAATTGGCAACATGTCCGCACAAAAAAAAGGATGTGGCAAAGTCTGTGGCTAGAAAAAGCCTACTTCTCGGTATAGGTCTTGCCTTCAGACATTAATGGGAATTTCAGATTTGGCTGACGGGTGTGCTCGTAATATACCTATGGAGGAAGGTATTTTTGGTTTTTTCTATTACGAAACAATAAGTAAAGAGGATGTGGATCAAGTTCTTAGACATGAAGAATTAGTCCTCGATGTTGTCAATACATACATCAGGTATTCTCCGATCAAATTTATTTAATTTATTGAACAATTTATCTACTAATTTTAATGAATGGTCTTAATGTTAATGATGTTTTATTTAAGTTTCATGTATGCCAACTTGATACGCCCGCGTCAATTGGATCAAAGATTCTCCTTCTTATCTCCAAACAATATCAACGCACTATTAATCGAACAACGACCAGATGATGTCAAAGAGTATCTTGTCCGTACATTTATGACCAACAAAGATATGGAAAATTGTCTTTTTTCCATTTAATAGTGGCAATGGGTAAGATTTTTATTCAAACTTCATCTATTATAATTTTTCATGTTTTGATATTCTGTAGAAAGTTTCTATCTAACCTTTGTTAATCTTATAGTGGACACTGGTTGTTGGTTGCAATTAATCCAATAAGAGAAGTTGTATATTATTTGAATTCGTTAGAAGGATATTGGACAAAATACCCAAATATGAAGGAGATGGTTGATACAAAAGTTAGATTGTTCTAAATCTTAGTTTGTATACTTAATTATTTTTTATGTGAGGAAAGTCATTAGGTGCATTAGTTTGTATACCCACATTCGCCTTGTCAGGAAAGTCATTAGGTGCATTAACCATCACCTTCTCATGAGAAGAATGATTTTAGAGTTTCAGTGAAGACTTTTATCATCGCTTCCTCCATCCTAGAAGGATTGACTTAGGCGGCAACCAGAATTTCAACCAAACCAGCTAAGCGCTCCACACTAGCTTTCAAATTAGTCATCTCTCTACGGAGTTCAGAAATCTCTTGCTTGATATTCTCCATAGTTCTCTTAGCGCGAGTGTTGTACTGGTGAGACCAAGGGAAAAATAAGACTTGGAAAAAGACTTTTGAAATTGAAACAAAAAATGTAGAATGATGTATGATATGCAAAAGAGAGTTTTTATTTGATTTTCAAGGAACTCAAGATATTAAGTTGTAAACATCAATGTATGAAGATAGAAGATGAATTTTAAATTGGCTCCAAACATTGATCAAGTTATCATCAAGATCAATCATCCATTTTGGTGGATTAGGGTTTTCGCCCTATCAACACCCAAGATCCATTGAGCTTGACGAAACTTGTGATGTTTACAAAGAAAGACCTCCAAATTCCTTCAAAGTCAAGTGAAAAGGATTTTATGGATGCGTGAATGCATGGCTATGCAACAACCACAAGCAAGGTCACAAATAAAGTCGAAAGGTTCAACGTCACGAGTATGGAGTCAAGGTAAGGAACACCCCCAAGGTATGTACTAACGGTTTAATCACACCTGTAGAACAAGGTTCTAAGAGTTCCCGGAGTCTACATTCCTCCTTCGGATATTACCAACGTCTTGATTACTCAATAATCAGCAATATTCTCAAGAGAAACTCATCCGAGCGTAGCATTGCGTAACAATTACTTCCGGATTACTCCGTTATAATCTCCGCGCTACACCTAAAAGGCCAAGATGGGTTAGGGTTCTATGGTTCCCAGCTTCTCTGGCTCCCAGGTCGAAAATGATAATGTCTTCCCGATTACTCGGTAAACAAATATTACGTTCAAAAGGGTCTTCCACTGAGTGGGGGATCTCATGCCTCCTTCTTCGGGATTACTCCCTCAAAGTTAACATGACTATACCGCCCGTCCTATTCCTAAGTGTAACTTAGTCCGGGTATAGGACTTGTCCTTTGCAAAAACCCAAATAACAACAATATATCACAAATAATCAAACAAACAAGTAATAATAACAAAAACAAATATGACAAATTAGGCTTAACCCACTTTAGGGATGGACCAGCAAGAGGTCAATCTGTCCCCAGCAGAGTCGCCAATTCTGTAGCGGTGAAAATCGGAGATCAAGCTATTAATTAACTTGACTCGCAAAAGCAAGAGTCGCCACCGCGCTTTATTATTTCCAAGGGAAAAGGGAAAAGAGCGAAATAAAACCCTAAAATATGCAATGTAAAATAATACTTAAAAGTAATAAAATACAATGCGTTTTTGAAAGAGATCGAGAGTTCGGGGGTTGGTTATACAATGGGAAGGTATTAGCACCCAATGCATCTGCGGTACTCCGCAGGAACCTTTTGAAATATCTGTTTTTGGTTAAAATTGTTTGTTTGATTAAAATGGTTCGTTTGGCTAAAAATCGGTGTTGGAAAGATTTTGAAGAGACGACGACCTAGTGTCGAAGTTTTGACTTAAAAGGTGTGAGTTTAAAAATGGAGTCTTTTGGGAGAATTATCTTAAGTTTGGAAAAATAGTAAATAAGCAAAAAATGGATGAGGGTATTCGCACGATTGTAACAAATATATTTGATGACATGAAGTCAACGAAGTTAAAAAACATTTCCCTTGGAATTGAGCAAACAAGCGAAATAAGATAAACATCAAATTACAAATATTCGAAAATCCACAAGGAAATAAAACAGATAAATGTAACTAATCATCTAAAAAAGTTATTTGAACTAAATTGAAAAAAATTAAGATTACTTGTTAAAATAATTCTAAACTAACTATAAATTCTAAGGCTATAAAAAAAATTCTAAAATTACTAAATTAGATCTAAACTAAATTAACATTTTAAAATTAGTAAATTACATTTAAATTAAATCGAAATTATAAAGGCATTAAATTAAATCTAAATGAAAACTCTAAAATTATTAAATTAAAACCTAAATCAAATTAAACCTAAACCAAATAAAATTCTAAAGTTACTAAATTAAATCAAATGAAACTCTAAAATCACTAAACTAAAACTAAAATTAAACTAATTCTAAATCAAATAAAAATTATAAATTTATTAAACTAACTCTAAATTAAATAAAAATTTTAAAGTTAACTAAATAGAAGTCAAATGAAATTCTAAACTAAAACTAAACTAAAACTAAACTAAAATTTACTAATATTTTGTTTATATTTTTTTTTAAAATGAAAGTTTATTTACATTAAAACTTTAACATCCCAAACTTAACACAATACAACATCACCAATTAATTCAATTAAAACAATATAGAAATTAATTAAGTGGAAAAAAAAATGGTGAAAGAAAGGTTACTGAAGTGGCAGCTGGCGGTAGCATTTGATGCACATGGCGTGGCAGCAGTTAGGCAAAACCATTTTAGTACAAGGCTCTAAGCAAATCCCACATTCATCCTCTCTTTGTAAATCAACATTGGTTAGTTTCTCATCTCCTTCAATCACCTTCTTGCCACAAACCGAACCTTCTCGCCCTTTCTCAGCTTTTCAACTATCTCAACTACTTTCTCTGGGGTTACATCTTCAAAATAATTATAAGTATATCCTTCTGAACCATTAGAGTAATCAGCCACTGTAATCATTGGAGCATTCACACAGCATCCCATGCATTCCATTTCTCCAACAGAAAAGAAACCATCTTGTGTTACTTCATTTCGTTTCACTCCTAAGTGTTTCAGTAATGCTTCTTCAATACTCGTGAACCACGTATCATACAAGGTGTAGTTCCACAGACCAACAGATGATGTTTGCCAACCTTAGATCGATTGAACATTGAATAAAATATGGCAACCTCATATACCCGAATAGGAGCAACCTCTATAACCTGAGCCACCGCATCCATTGCAGAAACAGGAAGCCAGCCTCCATGCTGTTGTTGTGCAAGATCCAGCAGAGGGATGATAGCAGATCGCTTATAGTTGGATGGATAGTGAGATAAAATCTCCTTCACCTTTTCTTTGTTGGCATTGTTGAATTCCCAAGGAAGATCGGGGTTTGGCGCTGGCTGGTGGTCGCGTTCTGATGGGCGGCGGCCGTAAAGGGTGATTCCGGAGGAGTGGAGTCCGGCGAGGAGATCCGCGGTGTTCGCAGAGGTTGACGGAGCGTTCTCGTCGAGATGCAACAGTGGCGGAGATAGATTGCAGAGTGTATTCGCAGTGTCGATGTTGAAGGATCTTGCCACTCTCTTCTTCTCCTTATTCTCTTCGATCTGGTTTTCATTACAGGTTGATGTTGTCTTGGTGAATTGGTTATTGGATTGATTTTGATATTAATTGCAAGATTGTTTATTTACAGAATTACATGTTGGAGTTATAGTGTTAAAGGTTTTGTTGGAGATGCTCAATGGTGTTTGATTGAGAGAGGGATTGAAGAAGGTGGGTAAGGAATGTTAGTGGTGTTGCGGTATTCGGTGAAGAGAAGGGAGTATGGGTTGTTATGGATGTTTTGAAGAGAAGGTTGTATCGTATACAACGAAGATGAAGCCGAATGTGAGAGGAAATTTGATGAAGGGAGAATGAAGATGGTATGTTGTTGGTAGGAAAACGAAAGGGAGTTTTTGATTGTTTCTTTCTCGAGAGAGGAAGTAGAGGAAAGGAAAGGGATGTGTGTGTTTTTTGTTTTTTTACCCCCCCCCCCCCCCCCCAAGTGATGTTGATGATGGTGATTGGGTAATAGATGAAAGGGTGTATGGTGGTGTGATCCTCAATTTCATCCAAGAGCCAATAGGAATATAGTATTGTGTGTGTATCGATCCTCAATCTCATCCAACAGCCAATAGGAATAGAGTATAGTGTAACAATATATTTTTGTGACCAAATAGTCCTTAGATGATAAAAATAACCAAAAAACTAAATGTATTAAAATTAACTCAATTTAAATGATTTTTTTTTGAATGTTTTATGAATAAAGAATAAAGACCCAAAATGACCGAAAATGATAAAACACGGACGAAAATTTATCCGAAAAAATAAAATGAACACATTAAAATAATCTACATGTCACAAAGATTAAAGAAAAAATATTCAAGAAGTCAAAAAATCAAAAATAAAATAATAATAAAAATATCAGACTAAACAGACGTTTAAGGTTAAAAACGAGACTTCGAACTGTACCGAAAAATAAAGCAAGCATACCGTCATAATCTACGCGAAGCGCAGATTCATAAAATGATCGGTAAAAGGTGAAAACTTGAAATATTTTCTCGCTATTTTCCCGCATAGTGTTGAATTGCTTTTAACAGTCTGTCTATAAAGTCAGAATATTTTTATTATCGACATATAAACAACTTGGAGCAGTGCGAGAAAAATAGTAAACAGATAAAAATGAATGAAGTGAAATGTCGGGTATTTTACAACTGAAAGACGATGCAAACTTTGATTTAAACTGACTTTTTTCTGGTCAACTTAAATACGACTAATGATGCAAAATGTGATGAATGAAGATATTTACTAATGATTGTGACCAAATGACAAAATATGGTATGAATGTGCGACTGAAAAAAAATAGGGGCGAAATTAAGGATGCAACAGTGTGCCTTGATGAATCAGTCTTTGAGAATCCACAATCAACCGTACTTCTGGCTTGAGAGACTCAAAACCTTAATTGAGGCGCGACACCTGATGCTCTTGATTCAAACCTGTCTCTGCACATGACACAAAAGAAAACATGAACATACACCTTTGTATGCGATTAGAAATTAGTGATACATAGGCTAAAAATGTTCAAAACACTTGACAATCTTCGCATAGTCAACGCTTGAAAGTGAGAGGTTAAAACCGACTGTATTTCGTGACCTTGACTTATCTTAAAAAATGCAAAAATAAAAATGGGATCTTAGGTCAAAAATTGGGGTACAACAGCTGCCCCTATTTAAGTTTCTTCTATCTGGAGATATGAAGATTGGGATCTTCATTTCGACGAGATTGAAGGGACTTAAATATAGAATACACAATTTTTGGCCTTAAGATACCGCGATTATGTTCATGATATGATATGAATGTAATGCTCTGAATTTTATGGGGAATGACGCCATATGAGACAGACTATGCTGGAGAAACCAAGCACATTATACAGTAATCCCACGGAGGAAGAAGTTGTAACTCCACTGGGGAAACAAAGTCATAGACTTCAAATGAGAGGCTCTTGAATGATTTACATCAGTATTGGGACTGGAAAAGGTAATGATTGACATCAGCACTGTGACTGGAAAAGGAAATGATGGACATCAGTACTGAGACTGAAAAATGATTGACATCAGCACTGTGGCTGGAAAACAAAATGATTGACATCAGCACTGTGGCTGGAGATGAACATCTCTGATTTCTGAATTTTACCAAGAACGGTAACACATTTCTGCTCTAACCAAGATATCGCTTGAAACGGATAAAATAACAAACTTCCCCACGGGACTTTTCCGAAAGGGATGCCATTTGCTGAGTAGACATTATTGTTGGGGATACACAAGCTGCTTAAATAAAGAGGCCGCCACTTGCTATCTTTCAAAGGTGTCGATAACATACGAGTTGCTCACGAAGAGACCGCCGCTTGTTGTTTTTCAAAGATAACAATAACACACAAGTTGCTCATGAAGAGACCGCCGCTTGCTGTTTTCAAAGGCGACAATAACATACAAGTTGCTCATGAAGAGGCTGCCGCTTGCTGTTTTCTCTAAGGTATCAGTAACATACAAGTTGTCTCATGAAGAGACCGCCGCTTGCTGTTTTCAAAGGTAACAATAACACACAAGTTGCTCATGAAGAGACCGCCGCTTGCTGTTTTCAAAGGTGACAATAACATACAAGTTGCTCATGAAGAGGCTGCCGCTTGCTGTCTTTTCAAGGTATCAATAACACACAAGTTGTCTCATGAAGAAACTGCCGCTTGTTGTCTTTTCAAGGTATCAATAACACACAAGTTGTCTCATGAAGAAACTGCCGCTTGTTGTCTTTTCAAGGTATCAATAACACACAAGTTGTCTCATGAAGAAACTGCCGCTTGTTGTCTTTTCAAGGTATCAATAACACACAAGTTGTCTCATGAAGAAACTGCCGCTTGTTGTTTTTTCAAGGTATCAATAACACACAAGTTGTCTCATGAAGAAACTGCCGCTTGTTGTTTCTAAAAGTGTTGATAACATACAAGTTGTCCATGAAGAGACTGCCGCTTGCTGTTTTCTCGAAGATATTAATAACATACAAGTTGCTCATGAAGAGACCGTCGCTTAATGTTTGTCAAGAGTATCCATAACACACAAGTTGCCTCATGAAGAGACTGCCGCTTGTTGTTTCCCAAAAAGATACCCATAAAATATCGTGAAGATATTGTTGGAGGTGAGAACCAATAATTTCATCGAGGAAGGACAAACTGCTCATGAAGAGACCGCCATTTGTCGTAGAGATATCAGAAATAATCAAACTGCTCAAATAAAGAGCCAGTCGCTTGTTGTCATGTCGATATTCCAGAAGAAGGTTGTGATAACACTGCTGGGGAATAAAATTCATCCTCAATGGGGAACCATGAATAAATCCTTCCTGAGAAGACCAGCTATTTGAATTGCAAAATAAATGTACTCTCCATCTAGGTTTCACGGCTTAGAGAGATCCACAGGGTATCGTTCCCAAGAGACAAAGCTCAATCCAGGAATAAACTGCAGAGAAAATAGTCAAACAAGACTCCACCCAATGAGGAAACAACTCAAATGGGGATTTATCCTATCCAGAGATGGAAAAGGAAAGCTAAAGCAAGATTCTTCCACGAGAGTTAACTCAGTGGGGAATTAGAAAAAGAGGCGCACTTTCTGCTTAAGTTGACACTCTATTTGGAAAGATCAAATACGCTATTTGAATAGACATAACCAAGGTATACGTACTCAAAGACATCAACAAATACAAATGTGCGTGCATGATGCAAGTATGAACGAATGAATGAATGTTATGTATATGTTGACAAAACAGACAGGGGAGATAGACAGAAGATGATAAGACGTCCCAGTACAACCCGACGCTCGGCTAATCTCAACAAAAGGGGAACATTACTGGAGATAGAAAACAAAAGCCATCATTGGAGCAAAGTCCTTTTACAAGGCTTAAATCTCTTTGGAGAGGAAGATATTTTTTGGTAGGAAGCCCAAAGTTCAGTCTTCTATTGTCAACAATCCATTGAAAGGATAACAACACAATGTTTTAGCTGGAAAAAGTCATGCTTAACTGGAGATACTGGGAACACCACCCTCTGATAATGTGTGCAATACATATCACATATCTTGACAAATCTAGATTGCCCCTAGGACTAATTTTGGATGCCCCAAGTTTACTGCTGATGAGCTGCATGTTGCACGACAATTCTTGCGAATAGCTTCACTTCTAACATGTCCCAAGCTATCTGGTTGATGAGGAGAAATCGTCTCAAGAGGATTTTACAAAAGACCTGGCATTCACCATGCTCTGGTGTCTTCAAACTCTTAGAGGAATTCATCAAATCTCGACGTGATTGCCCCGGATTGACTGTAGTTGGCACAACAAAGTCTTCTATTTTTGCCCCCAATAAAGGGTAAACAAGTTGGGAAAGCATTAACTGGGAGAAGCAACATGTTCGTGCTTACGGTCTTCAGGTGACATGCCCCTGGATATGATTTTTCTTAAAATGATACTCCAATTACTCAATCATAGTTTCAGGCCTTAAAAGAATAAACTCATCACTGGTGCTTATGTGAGCTTCTTTGATATCAAACAAATGTTTTGCAGTTAGAAAGAGTTTACAATGAGAATGAAAATTCTAATGCAACAGTTATGTAAGTCTTGAAGATTTTGAAAGATATCGCACAAATTTTGCGAGTTAAAGCACCATTTATTTTTGTATAGGAAAAACATATGATACCAACATAACTATTTAGAACATTCATGGGAGTCAGGAACACTATCTCATTGAAGTATGCTTTCAAAATAACCTTGCTTCAATTAGGACTTTTGAAGGTTGTAACGTGGTCTGGTTCATGGTTTTAGAAAAAAAAAATTTAAGGCTCAAAATATTTGGTGCCCACCCACTTCATGATGTTCTCCAATCCTATGTTCAGTTAATTCAACATGAGTGTTCATCTCTCAAAAGGACTTTGTGACGATTAAGGAAACGACGAGGCTTTCGGAGTAGAAACCACCCTCATGTCTTCGTATTTGTAGTCACCAATTTGTTCTTTGCTGAGGACTTTTTTTTGCAGTCCTTTTCTTTGCGATTTTTATTTTCCCTAACTTTTGCCTGAATTAATTCTTTTGAATTGATAATCCAGCGGGATGCCTTAATTTTTCCTAAGTCACACGTTTTCATGTTTTTTGACTTAGTAGGCTTTTCTTTTTCTTGATTTTTGACTTTTTGAACAAAATGTGTGACATTAGCTTGTCTTTGCTTGTTGAGAGGATTGTGATTGCCTCATTTCTTGATGAATGAGGGACAACATTGTGGTTCCACATTCTCTAGATTCATTATACATGAAGGATAGCCCTCGTAGTTTCTCTTCAAAAAACATCTTCCTTATGAATTTTGAACACTCAGTCGGATTAACTAAAACTACCCTGCCCCAGGTTAAAATTCAAGGTTTTTTCATAAAAAGAAACTTATGCTTCAAAGGCTCAAAAGGGGTTAGAAAGGGATTATCTTCCTTATATCTCCGGTGTTTAGGGATTTGAAACAATGCCTGTACATCATCAGCAAGATTTTATCCAAAAGCAAACAACCAGAGATTTTGCGTTCTTTAGATCATCATCCTCCCTTCAATCTCTGCCTAGGCAAGAGAATGGGCAACAAGTTGGTATCATAATGCAAAAAGAAATTTAAAATTTGAAAACAAATATGAGTGAAACGAATGAATTTCTTCAAGACAAACATATTCATTGTATTAAGATAATCATTCAGACGCAAACAAATTCTTACATGCAAACAATGTTTTGATAAACAAGAAAAATTACAAAAAGCAGAAATAAGTTAATGATCGGGGAAGGCTTTCCATCTGGACTTGAATCACCGAAAACATCCTTCAAAAATCAAAGTCACTATCAATCGTGTTTACTCTTCGGCGCATGCTTGATTTGAACTTCAAAAACAACGTCCTTGAATGACAAGATACCACTTCTGACCAACTTCTGAACCTCAATATTCAAAGCAAAGCAACCCTCCAAGTCATGCTCAGGAGCACCTTGATGAAAAGTACAAGCCAAATCAGCTTTGTAGTACCAATGTATCTTTTCAGGAACCTTCGGTGGAGGTCGGGTCTGAACCAAATTCCTCTGCAATAGGATAGGGAACAACTCTGTATAGGTGATTGGAATTGGATCAAATTGGGTTTTCCTCTAATTAGGGACTTGCTGATTCTGTTGATGAATAGGAGAAACATGATGATTCTGACGATGATTATTTCTTCCTCTGGTTCCCTTCTTGGAAAAGTTATTATCAAACTTCTTCACACCATTAGCTGAGCTACCATCTTCATATGAACATCCCTTCCCAACATCTTCTTCTAGACGCACTCCCACATTCGCCTTGTCAGGAAAGTCATTAGGTGCATTAACCATCACCTTCTCATGAGAAGAATGATTTTAGAGTTTCAGTGAAGACTTTTATCATCGCTTCCTCCATCCTAGAAGGATTGACTTAGGCGGCAACCAGAATTTCAACCAAACCAGCTAAGCGCTCCACACTAGCTTTCAAATTAGTCATCTCTATACGGAGTTCAGAAATCTCTTGCTTGATATTCTCCATAGTTCTCTTAGCGCGAGTGTTGTACTGGTGAGACCAAGGGAAAAATAAGACTTGGAAAAAGACTTTTGAAATTGAAACAAAAAATGTAGAATGATGTATGATATGCAAAAGAGAGTTTTTATTTGATTTTCAAGGAACTCAAGATATTAAGTTGTAAACATCAATGTATGAAGATAGAAGATGAATTTTAAATTGGCTCCAAACATTGATCAAGTTATCATCAAGATCAATCATCCATTTTGGTGGATTAGGGTTTTCGCCCTATCAACACCCAAGATCCATTGAGCTTGACGAAACTTGTGATGTTTACAAAGAAAGACCTCCAAATTCCTTCAAAGTCAAGTGAAAAGGGTTTTATGGATGCGTGAATGCATGGCTATGCAACAACCACAAGCAAGGTCACAAATAAAGTCGAAAGGTTCAACGTCACGAGCATGGAGTCAAGGTAAGGAACACCCCCAAGGTATGTACTAACGGTTTAATCACACCTGTAGAACAAGGTTCTAAGAGTTCCCGGAGTCTACATTCCTCCTTCGGATATTACCAACGTCTTGATTACTCAATAATCAGCAATATTCTCAAGAGAAACTCATCCGAGCGTAGCATCGCGTAACAATTACTTCCGGATTACTCCGTTATAATCTCCGCGCTACACCTAAAAGGCCAAGATGGATTAGGGTTCTATGGTTCCCAGCTTCTCTGGCTCCCAGGTCGAAAATGATAATGTCTTCCCGATTACTCGGTAAACAAATATTACGTTCAAAAGGGCCTTCCACTGAGTGGGGGATCTCATGCCTCCTTCTTCGGGATTACTCCCTCAAAGTTAACATGACTATACCGCCCGTCCTATTCCTAAGTGTAACTTAGTCCGGGTATAGGACTTGTCCTTTGCAAAAACCCAAATAACAACAATATATCACAAATAATCAAACAAACAAGTAATAATAACAAAAACAAATATGACAAATTAGGCTTAACCCACTTTAGGGATGGACCAGCAAGAGGTCAATCTGTCCCCAGCAGAGTCGCCAATTCTGTAGCGGTGAAAATCGGAGATCAAGCTATTAATTAACTTGACTCGCAAAAGCAAGAGTCGCCACCGCGCTTTATTATTTCCAAGGGAAAAGGGAAAAGAGCGAAATAAAACCCTAAAATATGCAATGTAAAATAATACTTAAAAGTAATAAAATACAATGCGTTTTTGAAAGAGATCGAGAGTTCGGGGGTTGGTTATACAATGGGAAGGTATTAGCACCCAATGCATCTGCGGTACTCCGCAGGAACCTTTTGAAATATCTGTTTTTGGTTAAAATTGTTTGTTTGATTAAAATGGTTCGTTTGGCTAAAAATCGGTGTTGGAAAGATTTTGAAGAGACGACGACCTAGTGTCGAAGTTTTGACTTAAAAGGTGTGAGTTTAAAAATGGAGTCTTTTGGGAGAATTATCTTAAGTTTGGAAAAATAGTAAATAAGCAAAAAATGGATGAGGGTATTCGCACGATTGTAACAAATATATTTGATGACATGAAGTCAACGAAGTTAAAAAACATTTCCCTTGGAATTGAGCAAACAAGCGAAATAAGATAAACATCAAATTACAAATAATCGAAAATCCACAAGGAAATAAAACAGATAAATGTAACTAATCATCTAAAAAAGTTATTTGAACTAAATTGAAAAAAATTAAGATTACTTGTTAAAATAATTCTAAACTAACTATAAATTCTAAGGCTATAAAAAAAATTCTAAAATTACTAAATTAGATCTAAACTAAATTAACATTTTAAAATTAGTAAATTACATTTAAATTAAATCGAAATTATAAAGGCATTAAATTAAATCTAAATGAAAACTCTAAAATTATTAAATTAAAACCTAAATCAAATTAAACCTAAACCAAATAAAATTCTAAAGTTACTAAATTAAATCAAATGAAACTCTAAAATCACTAAACTAAAACTAAAATTAAACTAATTCTAAATCAAATAAAAATTATAAATTTATTAAACTAACTCTAAATTAAATAAAAATTTTAAAGTTAACTAAATAGAAGTCAAATGAAATTCTAAACTAAAACTAAACTAAAACTAAACTAAAATTTACTAATATTTTGTTTATATTTTTTTTTAAAATGAAAGTTTATTTACATTAAAACTTTAACATCCCAAACTTAACACAATACAACATCACCAATTAATTCAATTAAAACAATATAGAAATTAATTAAGTGAAAAAAAAATGGTGAAAGAAATGTTACTGAAGTGGCAGCTGGCGGTAGCATTTGATGCACATGGCGTGGCAGCAGTTAGGCAAAACCATTTTAGTACAAGGCTCTAAGCAAATCCCACATTCATCCTCTCTTTGTAAATCAACATTGGTTAGTTTCTCATCTCCTTCAATCACCTTCTTGCCACAAACCGAACCTTCTCGCCCTTTCTCAGCTTTTCAACTATCTCAACTACTTTCTCTGGGGTTACATCTTCAAAATAATTATAAGTATATCCTTCTGAACCATTAGAGTAATCAGCCACTGTAATCATTGGAGCATTCACACAGCATCCCATGCATTCCATTTCTCCAACAGAAAAGAAACCATCTTGTGTTACTTCATTTCGTTTCACTCCTAAGTGTTTCAGTAATGCTTCTTCAATACTCGTGAACCACGTATCATACAAGGTGTAGTTCCACAGACCAACAGATGATGTTTGCCAACCTTAGATCGATTGAACATTGAATAAAATATGGCAACCTCATATAACCGAATAGGAGCAACCTCTATAACCTGAGCCACCGCATCCATTGCAGAAACAGGAAGCCAGCCTCCATGCTGTTGTTGTGCAAGATCCAGCAGAGGGATGACAGCAGATCGCTTATAGTTGGATGGATAGTGAGATAAAATCTCCTTCACCTTTTCTTTGTTGGCATTGTTGAATTCCCAAGGAAGATCGGGGTTTGGCGCTGGCTGGTGGTCGCGTTCTGATGGGCGGCGGCCGTAAAGGGTGATTCCGGAGGAGTGGAGTCCGGCGAGGAGATCCGCGGTGTTCGCAGAGGTTGACGGAGCGTTCTCGTCGAGATGCAACAGTGGCGGAGATAGATTGCAGAGTGTATTCGCAGTGTCGATGTTGAAGGATCTTGCCACTCTCTTCTTCTCCTTATTCTCTTCGATCTGGTTTTCATTACAGGTTGATGTTGTCTTGGTGAATTGGTTATTGGATTGATTTTGATATTAATTGCAAGATTGTTTATTTACAGAATTACATGTTGGAGTTATAGTGTTAAAGGTTTTGTTGGAGATGCGCAGTGGTGTTTGATTGAGAGAGGGATTGAAGAAGGTGGGTAAGGAATGTTAGTGGTGTTGCGGTATTCGGTGAAGAGAAGGGAGTATGGGTTGTTATGGATGTTTTGAAGAGAAGGTTGTATCGTATACAACGAAGATGAAGCCGAATGTGAGAGGAAATTTGATGAAGGGAGAATGAAGATGGTATGTTGTTGGTAGGAAAACGAAAGGGAGTTTTTGATTGTTTCTTTCTCGAGAGAGGAAGTAGAGGAAAGGAAAGGGATGTGTGTGTTTTTTGTTTTTTTACCCCCCCCCCCCCCCAAGTGATGTTGATGATGGTGATTGGGTAATAGATGAAAGGGTGTATGGTGGTGTGATCCTCAATTTCATCCAAGAGCCAATAGGAATATAGTATTGTGTGTGTATCGATCCTCAATCTCATCCAACAGCCAATAGGAATAGAGTATAGTGTAACAATATATTTTTGTGACCAAATAGTCCTTAGATGATAAAAATAACCAAAAAACTAAATGTATTAAAATTAACTCAATTTAAATGATTTTTTTTTGAATGTTTTATGAATAAAGAATAAAGACCCAAAATGACCGAAAATGATAAAACACGGACGAAAATTTATCCGAAAAAATAAAATGAACACATTAAAATAATCTACATGTCACAAAGATTAAAGAAAAAATATTCAAGAAGTCAAAAAATCAAAAATAAAATAATAATAAAAATATCAGACTAAACAGATGTTTAAGGTTAAAAACGAGACTTCGAACTGTACCGAAAAATAAAGCGAGCATACCGTCATAATCTACGCGAAGCGCAGATTCATAAAATGATCGGTAAAAGGTGAAAACTTGAAATATTTTCTCGCTATTTTCCCGCATAGTGTCGAATCGCTTTTAACAGTCTGTCTATAAAATCAGAATATTTTTATTATCGACATATAAACAACTTGGAGCAGTGCGAGAAAAATAGTAAACAGATAAAAATGAATGAAGTGAAATGTCGGGTATTTTACAACTGAAAGACGATGCAAACTTTGATTTAAACTGACTTTTTTCTGGTCAACTTAAATACGACTAATGATGCAAAATGTGATGAATGAAGATATTTACTAATGATTGTGACCAAATGACAAAATATGGTATGAATGTGCGACTGAAAAAAAATAGGGGCGAAATTAAGGATGCAACAGTGTGCCTTGATGAATCAGTCTTTGAGAATCCACAATCAACCGTACTTCTGGCTTGAGAGACTCAAAACCTTAATTGAGGCGCGACACCTGATGCTCTTGATTCAAACCTGTCTCTGCACATGACACAAAAGAAAACATGAACATACACCTTTGTATGCGATTAGAAATTAGTGATACATAGGCTAAAAATGTTCAAAACACTTGACAATCTTCGCATAGTCAACGCTTGAAAGTGAGAGGTTAAAACCGACTGTATTTCGTGACCTTGACTTATCTTAAAAAATGCAAAAATAAAAATGGGATCTTAGGTCAAAAATTGGGGTACAACAGCTGCCCCTATTTAAGTTTCTTCTATCTGGAGATATGAAGATTGGGATCTTCATTTCGACGAGATTGAAGGGACTTAAATATAGAATACACAATTTTTGGCCTTAAGATACCGCGATTATGTTCATGATATGATATGAATGTAATGCTCTGAATTTTATGGGGAATGACGCCATATGAGACAGACTATGCTGGAGAAACCAAGCACATTATACAGTAATCCCACGGAGGAAGAAGTTGTAACTCCACTGGGGAAACAAAGTCATAGACTTCAAATGAGAGGCTCTTGAATGATTTACATCAGTATTGGGACTGGAAAAGGTAATGATTGACATCAGCACTGTGACTGGAAAAGGAAATGATGGACATCAGTACTGAGACTGAAAAATGATTGACATCAGCACTGTGGCTGGAAAACAAAATGATTGACATCAGCACTGTGGCTGGAGATGAACATCTCTGATTTCTGAATTTTACCAAGAACGGTAACACATTTCTGCTCTAACCAAGATATCGCTTGAAAAGGATAAAATAACAAACTTCCCCACGGGACTTTTCCGAAAGGGATGCCATTTGCTGAGTAGACATTATTGTTGGGGATACACAAGCTGCTCAAATAAAGAGGCCGCCACTTGCTATCTTTCAAAGGTGTCGATAACATACGAGTTGCTCACGAAGAGACCGCCGCTTGCTGTTTTTCAAAGATAACAATAACACACAAGTTGCTCATGAAGAGACCGCCGCTTGCTGTTTTCAAAGGTGACAATAACATACAAGTTGCTCATGAAGAGGCTGCCGCTTGCTGTTTTCTCTAAGGTATCAGTAACATACAAGTTGTCTCATGAAGAGACCGCCGCTTGCTGTTTTCAAAGGTAACAATAACACACAAGTTGCTCATGAAGAGACCGCCGCTTGCTGTTTTCAAAGGTGACAATAACATACAAGTTGCTCATGAAGAGGCTGCCGCTTGCTGTCTTTTCAAGGTATCAATAACACACAAGTTGTCTCATGAAGAAACTGCCGCTTGTTGTCTTTTCAAGGTATCAATAACACACAAGTTGTCTCATGAAGAAACTGCCGCTTGTTGTCTTTTCAAGGTATCAATAACACACAAGTTGTCTCATGAAGAAAATGCCGCTTGTTGTCTTTTCAAGGTATCAATAACACACAAGTTGTCTCATGAAGAAACTGCTGCTTGTTGTTTTTTCAAGGTATCAATAACACACAAGTTGTCTCATGAAGAAACTGCCGCTTGTTGTTTCTAAAAGTGTTGATAACATACAAGTTGTCCATGAAGAGACTGCCGCTTGCTGTTTTCTCGAAGATATTAATAACATACAAGTTGCTCATGAAGAGACCGCCGCTTGATGTTTGTCAAGAGTATCCATAACACACAAGTTGCCTCATGAAGAGACTGCCTCTTGTTGTTTCCCAAAAAGATACCCATAAAATATCGTGAAGATATTGTTGGAGGTGAGAACCAATAATTTCATCGAGGAAGGACAAACTGCTCATGAAGAGACCGCCATTTGTCGTAGAGATATCAGAAATAATCAAACTGCTCAAATAAAGAGTCAGGTGCTTGTTGTCATGTCGATATTCCAGAAGAAGGTTGTGATAACACTGCTGGGGAATAAAATTCATCCTCAATGGGGAACCATGAATAAATCCTTCCTGAGAAGACCAGCTATTTGAATTGCAAAATAAATGTACTCTCCATCTAGGTTTCACGGCTTAGAGAGATCCACAGGGTATCGTTCCCAAGAGACAAAGCTCAATCCAGGAATAAACTGCAGAGAAAATAGTCAAACAAGACTCCACCCAATGAGGAAACAACTCAAATGGGGATTTATCCTATCCAGAGATGGAAAAGGAAAGCTAAAGCAAGATTCTTCCATGAGAGTTAACTCAGTGGGGAATTAGAAAAAGAGGCGCACTTTCATCTTAAGTTGACACTCTATTTGGAAAGATCAAATACGCTATTTGAATAGACATAACCAAGGTATACGTACTCAAAGACATCAACAAATACAAATGTGCGTGCATGATGCAAGTATGAACAAATGAATGAATGTTATGTATATGTTGACAAAACAGACAGGGGAGATAGACAGAAGATGATAAGACGTCCCAGTACAACCCGACGCTCGGCTAATCTCAACAAAAGGGGAACATTACTGGAGATAGAAAACAAAAGCCATCATTGGAGCAAAGTCCTTTTACAAGGCTTAAATCTCTTTGGAGAGGAAGATATTTTTCGGTAGGAAGCCCAAAGTTCAGTCTTCTATTGTCAACAATCCATTGAAAGGATAACAACACAATGTTTTAGCTGGAAAAAGTCATGCTTAACTGGAGATACTGGGAACACCACCCTCTGATAATGTGTGCAATACATATCACATATCTTGACAAATCTAGATTGCCCCTAGGACTAATTTTGGATGCCCCAAGTTTACTGCTGATGAGCTGCATGTTGCACGACAATTCTTGCGAATAGCTTCACTTCTAACATGTCCCAAGCTATCTGGTTGATGAGGAGAAATCGTCTCAAGAGGATTTTACAAAAGACCTGGCATTCACCATGCTCTGGTGTCTTCAAACTCTTAGAGGAATTCATCAAATCTCGACGTGATTGCCCCGGATTGACTGTAGTTGGCACAACAAAGTCTTCTATTTTTGCCCCAATAAAGGGTAAACAAGTCGGGAAAGCATTAACTGGGAGAAGCAACATGTTCGTGCTTACGGTCTTCAGGTGACATGCC